TCTCGGCTCACTGCAACCTCCGCCTCCTGGGTTCAGGCAATTCTCCTGCCTCAGCCTCCTAAGTAGCTGGGATTACAAGCACGCACCACCATGTCCAGCTAATTTTTTGTATTTTTAAGTAGAGACGGGGTTTCACCATGTTGACCAGGATGGCCTTGATTTCTTGACCTCGTGATCCACCCGCCTCGGCCTCCCAAAGTGCTGGGATTACAGGCTTGAGCCACCGCGCCCCGCCAAATCTTAATTTTTAACTCTCATTTTTTTCCCCATTTCAGTTAGACTGCTCTATTAACTTTACTTCCAGTATGCCTCTTAGCCTTTGCATCTTGTTATTTCTTCTCTGTAATGGTCTTTCATGATCACCCATCCATTTTCAAAAGGTTGCTTGTGCTTTCGTTTCCAAGACATCACCTTATACATCCAACTAGGAGTCACATCATCCATGTCATCCCTACTCTTTCAAAACACTGTCCTCTCTCTTTTCTGCACCACACAGAAGGGCCTACACATGGCTTTAATGCTTTAGCTTAGCCTCTCCGACCACACCTCCTAAGACCCTGAGGATCAGGGGGCATTATCTCACAGTTCTCCAGCACTTCTCTCCCAACCCAACAAATACACATGCTGCTAGCATGGAGCTGCGCACATAAGCTCCACCGGTGAAGACGCAACACACTGGGCAGTGCATCTCAACACATCAAATTACCCGCGCGCACAGGAGTCTGATGTAGCAAATGTGGGTCCTTCAGGATCCTTGAAGGCAGCCCTATAATTTGCCGTTTTCTCCCCTTCAAAAATACTCTGTGGGCCGGACGCGGTGGCGCACGCCCGTAATCCCAGCACTTTCGAAAACCCAAGCCAGAGGATCACTTGAGGTCAGGAGTTTGAGACAAGGCTGGGAAACTCGGTGAAACCCTTCTCTACAAACAAACAAACAAACAAAAATTAGCTGGGGGTGGTGGTGCGCCCCTGTAATTCCAGCCACTCGGGAGGCTAAGGCAGGAGGATCACCTGAACCTGGGAGGTCGAGACTGCAGTGAGCCTTCATCGCGCCATTGCACTCCAGCCTGGCCGACGGCGGTGAGATCCTGTCTCAAAAAAATAAAACCTACCACTTCCCCACATATCATCCCAGGGTAAAGCACGCGACGGAGGAGCGAAGCAGTGTTTATTTGTGGAGGCGCTCAAGTAAGAAATCCTTGAGTTTCGCTGGCCGACTCAAGGGTCTCCGAAGCCTCCACGGGGCTGTCTCCCTCCCAAAAAGGCAAAGAACCGTTAAAAAGTTGTGCTTCCGGCACAAGCTTCCGCGCCTGCTCGGAAAAGGGTGCGTGGACGCACAGCTCTGTTAAGGGAAGTCGCAAGGCACAATTTCCTTCATGGCAGTGGCCCGTAACCCAGAAGTGAAAGGCCGTTTCCTTCGGGTATCAGATCCCTGACCAAAGGAAGTTCCAGTTGGACCCGACTTTTACTCAGAGTTTCCCGCATCCACTTTAGCTCTTCCTATCACGTTTCCTGCTTGCTGATACACTGTTGCTGTGGCCACTTAGTTCCAATCTTCTTTGCAACTTTCCAGGGGTCCTAACTACACTCGGCCGTCCTTTCCTGAAAATAAAAAACACACACAAACCAAAAAGCAAACCTTTACCCTACGGGTCCCCATCAGGGTCAACCAGCGTTCTCCGTGAGGGGCAAAGCTCCCGGAGACTTTCTGCCTAACACAGCCAGGCCGGCGCCTACGCCCGGCGTTACCATAGAGAGGCAGTCGCCTCTCTGGTCTCGGTTTACGTTCTCTATGGTGCAGCCGGGTCGGTGGCGGTAAGGAGAAAAAGAGGGACCGCACTGCGCAGGCGCCTTCGGCGTCTCTCTCGCTCTCTCGGTCTTTTTTTTTTTTTTCTTTCTTTTTTTTTTTTTAATCCCCGCACCAAGCGCTTAACCTCATTGGGGTGGAGGAGAAGGCGGCGGCTCTCTGGTCCGCAGCGGCAACAGTAACGAAAAACAGGGCTGTAAGTACCCGATCAGGGGGCGGAGGGTCAGACCCGAGCCCTCCCGCGGCCCCGGCCCCTCCCGCACATTGGCGGGCGCCGGGTCTGGGTGGGGGTGATGTCCAGCGCTGTCATCGGCTCTTGGGTGCACTTTGGGGGATGGGGTGGCCCTGAGGTGGGAGCCTGGCGAGGAGCGGGTTGCGAGGGTTGTTTATACAGCTTGTAGGTCGCTGAGCCCAGGCTGCTTTGCAGAGGGAGGGGGTCGGCCGTGGGGGTCAGTCGGGCTTTGTGTGCCCCTGTTTCCCTTTCCCAGACCCCACCCGGGCCCCCTTTTTATCCTGAGTCTCCCCTTCCGGGTGGGAGAATCCAGCGAACCCGGGGCGCGTTTGCAAGGAGGGGAGGGGGCGAGGGAGAGAAACCCACAACAACTAGTCGTCGGCGAGTGATGGGTGTGGAGAAAGATCCAGAGGGAAGGGGTGCCGGGAGGCGGGCGGCCCGGGTTCCTGGCCCGGGCTCCCAGCCCGGCCAGACAAAAGCTGCGCGAGCGGCGCCGACGGAGCGGCTGGCCTGATGGGATGCGCAAGGTCCCCTTGGTCCCCGGGGCCTTCGAAGAGCTTCTTTCTGAAGCTGGGAAAGCGAACAAGTGCTGAGTTAAGACTGTGCAGCCTTCTCAACTTGCCTTTGTTGTTCTTTGGTGTTGGCAGAGACGCTCTGACGAAGATGAGTGTGTGATCTTGCACGTTAGCCTGGCTAGGTACAATGGAGCTAATCAAATTTTGCTTTCCATTTTCCGAGCTGCTTGGATGAGCATGGGGCTTTCCAGAGTTTAACTTATTACATAATATTTTAAAAATAGTTGTTTGTTTCTAAAATTAAGAAAAAACTTAGGTGGAGTCTTAAAGCATGCTGTGTTGCAGCTAGTGAGTTTCTGTGTAGTGGGGTGCGTTCGTTAAATACTGACCATTCGTAGAACCTGTGAGCTCTTTAAACATGATACTTTAATTTGTAGATTTGGCAATGAGAGCTTCAGATTTCCCAGTCCTTTGGGAGGCAGTGATGCAGAAGAGTCAGAAGCGAGAAACAGTTTCATGCTGCCATGTACCTTCCATCCTATTTGGATTTCACAGTCCGTTTTCAATTCTGCCATTAGAAATTGTTTTTATTACTGTTATTATTTATGACGTTAACTGAACCTCCGGTATGAGGGATCCTGGACACTGGCTGTGTTTGCTTATCAAGGGAGTGGGAGTATAGCAACATTGATGTAGAGATAATATAGATACAAAGTAATACAGCGCCTCAGAGTACTGAATATTATTTACTTTTTACATTTGTTAAGAAAGATATAAATATCAGTGATCTGGTGGTTATCTTGTAAAATTGTGCAATTGCACCTTTTTAGCGGTTGTTACTCAAATCTCAGTTTCTATAATTCATTCTTTATTATGAGCTAACTTGTAACACTATTTTAGATTCCTAAAGCTTTAATTTTTATGGAGTTTTCAGCTATAGGTTTTAATTCTCCCAAGTAAGGTTAACCAAAGTTAGGACTCCTTTGAAGAGACTTTGTTGGTGGTGGAGGTGTCAAATATTATATCTCTGTGTTACTACTGAATTGGCAAATACAGAAAAGGTTTTTGCTAAGTTTGCACCATAAATTTGTGTTAGAATAGAAAACCCAGATCTCCTAGTATGTCAGGCTTTTGAATTAACCCACAGATTCAACTTTATTTATGTAAAGAGGTAAGCAATTTTTTTTTAAATTGATAGCAAGTAAAAATCTGAAGCCTGGTGTATTATGCTTCCATAACTAATGGGATAGATTCTCTTAAGTGTAGTTCAGATGATAGGAACTTGCTTTTTATAGAGCAAGATTTCAGAGCCTTAAAATAGTTTGACAGGGATGTTGAGAAATGATTGGCCAGAAGAACATTAAGCTTGTCATTCAAGTGTGTTATATTTTGTTTACTGGTTTTGTTTATTATTTTTAGTTTTAGTTTTTAAGACAGAGTTCTTGTCGTCCAGGCTGAAGTGCATGGCACCTCGCTGCAGCCTCTGCCTCCCAGATTCAAGTGATTCTTTTGCCTCAGCCTCCTGCGTAGCTTACAGGTACCCACAGCCACACCCAGCTAATTTTTAGTAGAGACAGGGTTTCATCATGTTGGCCAGGCTGGTCTCCAACTCCTGACTTCCGGTGATCTGCCTGCCTTGGCCTCCCAAAGTGCTGGGATTACAGGCGTGAGCCATCGCGCCCAGCCTGAGTTTATTGGTTTTAGATTTAGATTTTTTGCTTCAGTCTTGTTTATTCTATTTTCTTTTATTTATTTATTTTTTTGAGGCAGAGTCTCACTGTGTAGCCAGGCGCCAGGCTGGAGTACAGTGGCGCGATCTCAGCTCACTGCAACCTCCGCCTCCCAGATTTAAGCAATTCTCCTGCCTCAGCCTCCCGAGTAGCTGGGACTACAGGCACGCCACCATGCTCAGCTAATTTTTGTGTTTTTAGTAGAGACAGAGTTTCACCATGTTGGCCAGGATGGTCTCGATCTCTTGACCTTATGATCCGCCCACCTCAGCCTCCCAAGGTGTTGGGAGTATAGGCGTGAGCCACTGTGCCCGGCATCATTCTGTTTTCTTAAGTAGCTTAGTGTCATGATTTATAAGTTGAGTGAGATGGTTTCTTGGGCCTAAGACTTAAATTTATTGAGACCCATCTATTCTATTCTATTTTTTTTTTTCCTTTAATTTAGAGATGGAGTTTCTCCTCGTTGGCCAGGCTGGTCTCGAACTCCTGACCTCGTGATCTGCCTGCCTCAGCCTCTCAAAGTGCTGGGATTACAGGGGTGATCCACTGCTCTCAGCCACTGTTTTTTTTTTTTTTTCTTTCTTTTTTTTTTCAATATCCTTTAAATGCAATGTCTGAAACAAAACAGAAGATATGACCTGACCAGAATATACAGCTGTTTTCTTAGGGAACTGAATCAGTGATTTTCAAACTTCACTGTGCATTCTGGCTCTGCCACTTACCAGTGCTGTGATTTTAGGCCAGTTAAATAATCTCAGTATTTTAGCATCTTTGTCTGTAAAACAAGGGTGAGAGGAGGGCAGTGTTAATTGTAGCACCTACCTAGGTTGTTGTCAAGATTAAATGAGATAATGTAAAGTGTTGAGGGTAGTGACTGATACGTGTTAAGGGTAACACATGGTGGGAGTTAATAACTATGTAGTAGTAGTTGCAACAATCAAGTCACTGGAATCACTTTGGGACCTTGTGAAAATACAAGCAGCCTGGCCTTACTTTATTCTCTTCCACTCAGAGAATTTGTATGGGACGTGGGTAGCCACAGTTTTAACAGTCCCCAATGATTTTTAGATGACCCAGAGGTGGAGAACTCTGCACTCTACATTCATGATATAAGTTATTGCATTAGCTTTTACAAATTAAAAATTTTAGGCCAGGTGCGGTGGCTCAAGCCTGTAATCCCAGCACTTCGGGAGGCCGAGGCGGGTGGATCACGAGGTCAAGAGATCGAGACCATCCTGGTCAACATGGTGAAACCCCGTCTCCATAAAACTACAAAAAATTAGCTGGGCATGGTGGCGCGTGCCTGTAATCCCAGCTACTCAGGAGGCTGAGGCAGGAGAATTGCCTGAACCCAGGAGGCGGAGGTTGCGGTGAGCCGAGATCGCGCCATTGCACTCCAGCCCGGGTAACAAGAGTGAAACTCCGTCTCAAAAAAAAAAAAAAAAAAAAAAAAAAAAAAAAATTTTAAATTCTCCAAGTAATAGTTGAATAGATCTTCCTAAACGATTCGAACAATGCAGATACAAGTAAAGGCATGGCTCCCAATTTCAGACTCCTCTGGAGAAAGGAGAAACACCCACTTACTAGTTTGGAAAAACCCACATTTCCTTCTATACACTGTTACCCTTTTTGTAGATTTATAAGTAAATGTCTTCATAGTAGTAATAGGCAAGCTTAAAAGATAAAAATGATTTTCAAAGCACTTTTACAGTCATAATCTTTGTTCCTTTCCAAGTCCTGTGATATGGGTAGGGGAGATAGCATCACAGTCCTATCAATTTGCAGATGAGAAATCAAGGCCTGCAAGTGAAATTTGCCCTGATTGATCTAGAATGAGAATTGAGCCTTCTGTCTCTCAGCCTAATGCCCTTTTCATGTGAACCACACTGTCTCCTAGCTACATAACCTTGGCTTATATTGAAGTTGTGGCTCATGAAGTCGTCTAGTCTTTTTGCCATGCCAGTAGCTGTGAAATCAGATTTCCTCCTTTCCTTTAGTGTATATATACTTGCTTTTAGAAAAATGTAATTTCTTGGATAGGAGAGTATTTAAAAAAAAAAAGAAAAAATAAAAAGTAAATTCAAGATTTTATATTTTTGTGTATCTGTTAAGATTGATCTGTTGGGGAAAGAAATCTAGAACTGGCCTCGTGGCCATCTGATAGCATGGTGCGTTTGGGTGGGCCTGTCTTTGTTCAGGATAGCTGAGGTCAATGTAGCGCTTTCCTTCACTGCTGTTCAATTAACAATCCAGGTAAAATTAGTTAAATTTATTCATAGTCTTACTACAATAATGTAGCAATAATACAGAAAGTTGAGAGACCAGTGGAGGAAAACCCACATTAAACCATCCCAACATGAGCTATTACTTCCCGATATGTCACTCTTTGAGACTGCCATGTGTCCATTCCTTTTTTTTTTGAGATGTAGTCTTTTTTTTTTTTTTTTTTT